TTGCTACATTTGAGTTGCCCGTGGAAATCGCGGGATGAGAAGCCAGAGGGTTAAAGCGAGTTATTGCCTTTCATTAATAATCACTGTTGTCACAAGATAAAATGCAAAAGTGTAAAAATTCAATTAAAACTTATTTTTTGTGTCTACTGAGACTTAAAATAATACAAAACAACTTATCACCTCTGGTGCTTTAATGGCTTATTGGAACCTTAAAGTATGTTACCTGAGTTACAATCCCTGGAACTCTATGCGAAGCTATGACACTAACTGCATCAAACAGAGCCTGACTAACTTTCAATACTTGCCAACCATGCCTACATCAGGCCTTTCAGGTTTGTTCTAATAAGCAGGTCTCTCTCTAGACAAGCAACAGCAGTGGCAAAATTCAGTCTTTTGGTTATGAATCATGCTGATTATGATCTTACTTTTCATTTTAACCTATGCCATTTGACATAAAATCTACCTGCTAAATACTAGACCTCTAGACTGACCAAGTAGATGACAAAATGAGACATAAAAAAATCAACATAAAGCTAACTAGTAAAACTTAAATGTTTGGAAATACACAAAGTTTCAATAGCTTCTAAACTATTAGTTCTTTCAAATTATAGAAACTTCTCAGTTGTACCTTTACACGATTACTTATTAGTGTTCTTTGTGCTCTTGAACCAAAAACAAAAATACTTAAACATTCCTGACTTATCACTTCCAACTTTAATGAGGTATCTGTTTATTAATAAAGGGTCTTTCATTATGATTGTCAAATAAACATTTAATTTTTACTTCCTGTTCTTGCTGAGTCAGCAGGATAAATTTACATGTCAGTAATGTAAATTTACCTGTCAGTAAATATATGTTGCAACTGTTTTGACTTTAAATGGAATGATTTGTTGTATGGTTTATATCACTGTTATATGTCTTTACTTTGTTTATTTAATTTTTCGATAAGCCTTTTGTCAACGTTCCCTCCTCGCAAATGTAATGGCAATGCCTTTGACAACATTCTTGCTCTGCGTATGATTGTAGCAAAATCTGGAAGCATGAATTTTTTTGAGCAATTGAAACAGTAGCCAAGATGCAGTAAACTAGCTTTCCATTCACTAAAGGTAAAGGACATTTATCAATCTTATGCTTGTCTGTGGAACAAAATATACACACATTTTTAATTGTGGTATTTAATGCAGCTGTTGTCGGTAGATGTTTAGAATTCTCATATTTTCTGTACTCTGAATTTTTCTTTTTATCTGCTTTGTCTGGCAAAATAAAAGTGTTTTTTTTTTTTTTTTTTCCATGTTTCAATTTTCCTTTAAAGAAAACTGGAGTAATTAAAAAAAAAAAAAAAAAAATGCCACCATTCTTCTGTGTTAGCAGAACAATGGTATTCCAATGCAATATCCTCAGGAATTAATTTTACTAAAATTAGAAAAAGAATTCCACTCTAATTGTTCACTTCTCTGGTTGTGTCAGTATTTCAAATCTGAATAGTAATTGTGTCATAGTTCTTTTGAGGTGAACAAAATTTCTCAGGAGTTAAGCCTAACAATTTGCTTGCATGTGAACATAAAATAATTTTTACTTTACCAAAACATTCTTTAAAGAATTCAGTATCTAAATCTTAATTACTTTACATTAATCATAATCCTTGTATACATTTTAGTGTAGAATCCTTTAAGAAGGATTATTTTAAATAGGGAAGTTTATCAGTTTTTGTTAATTGTTTATTTTCATAAATTGCACCTTCAATTTGTCCCCCAAATAATTGCCAGTTTTAGTATTTGCCATCAAAAGGCTTTATTTTTAATTTTGACAATTTGACATGAGGATAATTAGTAGTTATCTCTTCAGAAATTTCAGAGGAATCACTGTGTGCATAAGTTTTAATTTTATTTTTATGTTTAAAGTATCTTTCTTCTTTCGATTTGGAACTCACAGTCTTTTTGCAGTATTCTTGGCTTTTCAGAACATCAACTTCATGCATTTGTAAATCATTTATAATGCTTTCTATGATAAAATCTAGCTGATAGATTTGATTAGCTTTCTCTACTAATTGGTGTTTGAGATCATCCAAATCGTCATTAGTACTATCTCCCTTTAGTATATCACTTAATTTTTTTCACTAGTTAAAGAAGTTTGAATATTTTTCTTTAACTTCTGTAATTCGCTATGTGCCATTTTTAAATATTTTTCTTTAACTTCTGTAATTAACTATGTGCCATTTTCAATTAAAATTGAGTGCTTGGTGGTTTGGCACCATAAAACGAAAATCAAAATTCAATTAAATGAGAAAAATTCTTACGTGGTTCTTCTTATCTTCTGAGTTTCTCAAGAGATTCAGCAATTGAACCCGATTTAAATGTTAATCCTTTGCTAGCCACAATAAATAAAGAGATGTGAACAATTCTATGACATTATACACTTACATCAGAACACTAATGCTTATCAGTTATAGCATATTTGCTCCACTTATAGTCTAAAAATCATAGAAGAGTTTTATGATGAGTTATGCATTTCAGAGTATTAAGTTCAGATAATCCGTGTGTTTCAAAGATTTCTCAAATGTCTTGTAAAAAATAATTCCAATCTTTTTTTTTTTTTTTAGCCCAAAGGACCATTAGTCTCAATATTGCATTTTGCATCGTTTCTCTTTCTGCATTGATTCACTTTTCAAACTGTTGCCACAAAATATTATCATCATGTATTATATTTAAAGAAACTAAATAATTAAGAATCTGCATGAATGTTTCTTGCATTGTGAAAAAGCAATGGTACCTCAAGCCATCAAATTTTGAGTAATGTAGCAATCAATTTCTGAATAACATAATCTTCCATAGAATATGGGCATGTGGAAGCCTTAAGTTGAAATCGAAATTTGTTTTATTATCGATTTCATTATTTTTTTGATTTCAAAGTCAACAACAAATTTTTGAAAAAAAATAAAAAAAAAAAAAAAAAAAAAAAAAAAAAAAAAAAAAAAAGAACATTTTTATCTCCAGTGCACGAGACTGTGCGGAAATTTTAAAGATATTCTTTTTTTAAATTATTTTGTGATATTGCTATTGAATTGAGTTTTATGGTTTAAGTGCAAAGAACATGATATTTAATAATTAAAGGTAGCATGCAAAATGTTAAAGAAAAGCACCCAAATTTTAAAAAATCTGAAAAATTTCATTCCCCTCTTTTTTATCTCCCCCCCAAACTTTTTGATGTATATTGTTACTAAGTTTTCCAGTATAACTACAGCTAAAATGTTTAAATGAGTTTAGCAGGAAAATTGATTTTTTCATGTATTAGTAGTTTTTTTTTCTTTTAGTTTAAACATAATACAGTCAAAAGTCATTAATCCGGACTCTTTGGGACTTCGGCGATTCCGGATTATCGATTTTTCCGGATTATAGATCATCAGTTTAAATCTGGTAAGATGGCATGCAGAAATTATAAAATTAAAAATATGAAACCGTAATTTATGAAATAAAGAACAATTATGACCTAAAGGGTATCAAAATTTACAAAAAAAAAAAAAGCTTAATATTTATTTGTTTACTTTATTAAACATTTCTTTCAATGTAAGTTGTTTAAGTTGCTTCGTTATTTATGTGATAATACATTTTCTTTAATTCTATAAACAGACATAATTTCTTGTTCAGTTACAAAGTTCCGCTGTTCAAGTCCTATAATTGCTGTGTCTACCGACTAATTTGTCAGTCGAAATTTTTTCGTTTTCAATAACCTCTGTCACTTTCTTTGCTATCAGAAGCGAATTATAATGACGAGAAATTTGATTTAAATCATATCAAAGGAGTACATCGAGATGAAATACTACATTTAGTAAGGAATTATAAGCCAAATAAAATAAAAACATCTGCCCTGAAGATAAGGATAGTGCTCACGGATCAACTTCCAATTCATTGGGCGCTGCATACCGCCCTTCCCATCCCGGAGATGTGTGAAAGTTGAGGTAAACAAACATTCGGAATGTTTAGATAAACAAAGAATATGCCTTTATCCATTTTTGCAGGCAATTCCACTTTTTGTTTAATGGACTTCGAAAAAAAACATACTTTCGCTTTGTAGATCCGTTACATATTAGTAAATATATATCAGAAATTCTATTTGACATAATCGAAAGTTCAAGCTTACTTTTATGAAATTGCTCTAACAGTCTGCAAAAAATAATAAGCCAGATCCAATTCGAAGATTAAGGAACAACGCAATCTGTAACATTAACTGAAATAGATAATTAGATAATTTTAGCGTACTTATACCGTCCATTATGCATTAAATGCGCATTCGTAAATGTATTTTGCACACGCACACACGCATATTCGCAGCATGCGTCAACGCGACGCATGCACAGAAAGTTTGTAGCTTTGAGGTCCGGATTATAGATCATTCCGGATTATGGGTGTCTGAATTAACGACTTTTGACTGTACTATTTCATTAATTTTATACATATTTCTGGTTTTTATATGGCTAAAATTATATGCTTTTTTCTAAATGACTTGAATTTAAATAAAAAGTTAAAAATTTGTATGAGTTCTGTTTGTGGTATCTTATCCAGCAATTAAAAAAGCGAGAAGCAATTAATGAATTGTGTGAAACTAAAATATTAGCGAATCCATTATTCTCTGTCTTAAAAGGAACTGAAATAAAAAAAAATTATTCTTGAACTATAGCAGAAAAAGTGTAAAAATCATCTAGTTCTTATAAGAAGTTTTGATAAAATTGAAATCCAAAGTGTTATATTTGACCTGAAGCTTACGTCTATTTTTTAAGGTTAGTAAATGTGCTAATTAATTAAAATTTAATATGTGTATTCCATCAAAATTATATTAATTTTGCAATATTAGATCAAAATTAATATAATTTTGATTAATATAATTTTGATGCTAATATTGCTGAGATTAAAAATGTGCTGTATTTAAGTTTATCTGTCTGTGAAAAACTGTAATAAATGTCTCAAGTGTTGTCTTTTAAATGTAATTTAGACATTGTCTCTTAGCAGGAGAGTTCAGAGAATTCAAATTTAAAGGCTAAACGAACATTACCACAGAGTAAAAAAGGAAGAAAAAAGGTTAAAGTGGAAAAAAGCATTGAAAAGGTGATACTTATGCTTAGATTAATTACTTTTATTTTTTATTCTTTGAATTTATTCCATCCTGTACTTTTTTTAGACTGTTTCTTAGATTTTAACATGACTTTGATTATAAAATGATCCCCTGAATTTCAGGACTAAATAGGAAACTATGTTGATTTTCAAAAAGATTGATTAGTAAAAATAAATTGCAAAAATAAATCTGAAAAATGTTTTTATTATAAACGAATTTCATTTACCAACTGAAATAGTACTTGTTTATCAGTGCATATGTATTGATTAGTAAAAATAAATTGCAAAAATAAATCTGAAAAATGTTTTTATTATAAACGAATTTCATTTACCAACTGAAATAGTACTTGTTTATCAGTGCATATGTAATTCAGTTTTTCCTTCTGATTCAGTATCAGAATCGTATTTTTGGAAACTTCCAGAATATCATCAAGTTGGCAGTAAATTGCCAGATTTGCTAATTTGGTGGAAAAATTTGTCACCAAGAATCAGAAACATGATTTTTACCCAAATGTGTGATTTTACGCCATTATATTTGGACTGTCCTTGTAATTTGAATTTCAATTAATCTTTCAGTTAAAAGATCTCAAGTATAATGCACGAAGTAAATAAACCTAAAATTGCTACAAAATGCACAAAGTAATTAAATAAGTAAATGAATAAGTAAACAGAAACATGTAACAATACAGAAATATATGAAAATCAAATTCTAAATAAATGTTTACAAAAATGTACAACAATATTAATTAATAAATTTACTATTAAATTTTATGTGCACTTTTGTAATTTTAAGCTACTTGGAAGGGAGTTTGTGTTTCTTAGAAATGTAAGAGTCAATAAGATAGTATAATTAAATATAAAATGTTATGGAAAAGAAATTAAACCTTCCTGTACTTTAAAAGATTTATTTGAATTAATTTTACTTATTACTTTTATTATCAATTTTATTATTGTGATTCGTTTTAATTTTAATGTGGAAGGAGAAAGTGATATCCATTCGAAGTCTATGATAATTAATATTTTCCCTTTCCTTCAGAATGAAGGTGATTGTGTTAGTTCAGATTTGCAGCCATTTGTATCACCAAATGAAGATGTCAGAATTTCCAAAACTGAAGAAAAGGAGGTAAAGCTATTTTAATGTTAATTACTGTTTACTTATCTAATGACAAAATTTCATGGATCTGTTTTGGTCTTATGAAGTGGAGTAAAGAATATGATGTATAGTTAAAAAAAAAAAAAAAAAAATACCTAACTATTCCTGTCATTTTCTGAAGAAATTCCGGAAGTCCTCCTTTATGAGTTTCTTTAAATTTCATTGTGATGGTTATTTCAGTGTCCTGAATCATTTCGAAATGTTTACTTTTTATTCTGAGCCAGAAATTGTGTGGTAAGTCATGAATAAGATGGATGAGGCCGTAATAATGTAATTCATCATATTTTATAGAAATTCCCATAATAGAAGCTATCTAAGATGGAAATTTCTGCCTACATGTCAGGCAATTTTTAGTACTTGTCTTCTATAGCAGTCTTGGTGAGATTGTTGATTTGGTGCACTTCTGCATTGGAGAAAATATTTATGGTTACTAATCTCCACATACAGGTTTCTTCTATCACTGCTTTTTAAAAATGTAACAATCTTTTTTTCAAGCTTGTTATTCATATAAGTTTGCTTGGCTAATGAAAATTTTCGCGTTTTAAATATAGCAGTTTAATAGTTTTCCATGCTTGCTCTTAGCTCACATTTCTCTGGCTGGTGAAATTTTTTACTTTTAAATTATAGTGGTTTTATAATGCTTGTTATTTTCAATATACCATCAACTGAAAAGGAGGCTGTAGTTTTTTACAAGAAAAAGTTATTTTACCAAAAGCAGGAATTTGTAAAAATGGTCATAATATGCATTTATATGTTCTATATGGTCCTGTCTTGCAGAGTTCATGTTTAGTCACCACTGTGATAAAGTATTTGAGGCATTATTAATAGCAGTTGCTGAACTATGGCCACCTGAAAAAGTTTGTAAACTTTCGAGTGTGCATGTTATTTTTTTAACGAATTGGTTATAAAATAGTATATTATAATTAACTAAATACTTAAAAATTTATGATTTTTTTCAAAAATAGTAAGCATAATCAATATTTTACAATGAGAAACCACTATACTGACACATTGCAATTCTGCAAAATCAGTAAATAGTTAACCACTTGTTTCTCACAAATCTGTTTGCGCAGTTCAGTAACTGTTTCTTTTCCGTAAATGCAAAAACGTACCAGAAAGATCTCATCAAGGCCACTGCAGAAGACAAGTACGCAATTCTCAAACAACACTTCAGTTACATTCATCATTTACTCTGTTAAGCCCTTGTAATATTCAGTATTCACCATAATGTATGTAGATACAAAAAATTTGAGAATTACCATCTTGTTCGTCATTTTCTGAACCACGATTGTAACTGTTTCTTTTCCGTAAATGAAAAAACGTACCAGAAAGATCTCATCAAGGCTACTGCAGAAGACAAGTACGCAATTATCAAACAACACTTCAGTTACATTCATCATTTACTCTGTTAAGCCCTTGTAATATTCAGTATTCACCATAATGTATGTAAATACAAAAAATTTGAGAATTACCATCTTGTTCATCATTTTCTGAACCACGATTGTATCTCCTGATTTTATTTACATGGACAAGATTTTATATGTTAAAAACAATATATCTTATTCAAGGTATTAAAAACAATCAAGAAGCTATCAAGATTTAATTCAAACAGTTAAACAAATTAATTATGTGTATGTATTCAGAATACAAATAAAGTATATCTAATTATTCAAGTTTCTGAAACAGCATTTATGTTTTTTTCTGATATCAGAAGTCTGGTTAATATGTCACATTCTAATGAATGTTTTATATGTTAGTATAATTAACTTTGAGAAAAAAATTAATATGCAGTAATTATTTCAGGAAACTGGTGCCAGTAATCCACCTTCTACTGGACAGTCTTCATGTGATACTGTATTAAAAACATGTCAGCAACAGTCGTTTACAAGAGTATGTATATAGAATTTATGATTTATATTTTTTCACGTTTGCTAGCAAATTATGTAATTTATTAATACATAAAATCAATAGTTTGAATTAATTTTCAGAACATATAAATTAAAAATAAAGTGTTTTAATCTTAACTTTTATTGACCTTTATTATTATTTTTTTTTTTTTCGTTTTTTTATTTGAAATATCGTTAAAACTATAGATCCATTAATTTTTCTTAGAATATATTTCCAAATATAAATCGAAAGTGCATTTTTTCTTAAAATTTTTACCCAAAATTTGAAACCTGTTTATAAAGTGAAAAAAAAATATTCTTGTAATGCTCAAACATGTTGCCATGATGTTGAAAATGTTAACAAGCAGGGCAAGTGTAGTATATTTTGCAATCAAATCGCTATGAAGTGCCAGATGCCAGTGTCAATAGTTTTAACTCTAGTGGAATCTAGCTCATTTATTCCATTAATTTGTTGTCTTATATACAATCTGTGGTATCTGTGCTATTCTTATTTTTGTGTCATTTTATTTTTTGTCTGAAAGACGAATGGGAAGAAAAAGCTTTGTGTGGAAAATTTCAAACTGCAGATGATCGTGTTTGGTGAACATTCTAAAAAAAGTATGTTATTTTTCCATAAATTAAAAACAAGTTAGAAAGTGGAGAAATCTGGGTGCAGATTTTGCTAACAGATCTTTCATTTGGTGATGATGCAACAAACCATCATTATAAATAGATTTGAAAATAAAACAACTTATTTTCATAAAACAAACAACTCGCTTCATTTAAATTAATTTTTTTGCACCCAGCTAATGGAAAAATATGCAAGGTAGTGGATCTGTATATATGCGGACTGCTATAATTTGGCTTTAAAGAAACTTTTAAAAATTCTTGTCTTGTACACGGAAATATATATTATCCGCATGGTCCTGGGATGGGAACTGTGTCCATAGATTAATAAAAATGTGAATACAATATTTTTGGAATTATTTTGTTTTTATACCTGTTTCTGACCATCTGTAATTTTAAGTCTTTTTTTTTTTTTTTTTTTTTTTTTTTTTTGGCTTTGGCACAATGAATAATATATATGAAATCTAAATTAAAAAATGTAATACAATATGAATTAAAACTTCTAGAAGATTACATTTTGGAAGTAGTTTTAAATATGTAAAAGCAAGCAACATTTTATCAGTATTTATGAGCATACTAAAATTGTTATATTTTGCACAGAAATCACTCAGAGATAAATTTGTTATAGAACAGAATTGATGTGTGATAGAATTAACAGAATTACTGGTACAGAGGCCAAGTACCTGTTATGGTTGTTTACTGGTGTATTTAATTCTTATATTATATTATCTATAATGCATATTATTTAATTGTTAAATTTCTAGTCATTAGATTTTATGTAAAATTTGGTTATAAACTAGTAGGAAATGTTTGTAGGTGACAGAATTCTTATTTAAGAAATGCTTTTGTATTATAGCAGCCACTGTAAAAGAAAATTACCTACTCTGCAATTAATCATCAGAGTTGATTGTCGACTGAAGCTAATCGTACTTAGCACTTCATGCACTTGTACAGCTATTCTAATCAACTGTTGTTTTACATATTATTAACTTTTTCTTATATTGTAGGGCCTTAATTGTGTAATATTAACTAAATTATCCTTGATGATTCTGTTAAAATGTCAAGTGAGTTATCACTCCATCTATGTTACTATGACAAAGTTTTAAATAAACGTTTTTATTAAACTTGAATTTAAACAGAAGACACCACTTGTGTGTACAGTCAAAACCCTGCCACTCACAGGCAGTAAAATAACATGAAGGTGAATTTCCAATTTAAAAAGCATTGTAGCCAGACTAAAAAAATTTGGCCTAATTAATTTGGTTCTAGCTTTAATAGCACAATTTAACTTTGGATAGCAATTAGCTAATGCTAGAGTATTAACTTGCTAAGCCGGGTGCAAATGTCGCTTCCAAAAGCTGTATGTCTAAAATATTCCAAAACCCTTGCTTTAAATAAGCATAAATCAAATATGCATCACAGTGAGGGCTAACAAAAGGAGAGATTAAATCAAATCAAAATCATAAAAATTCATTAATTAACATAAAATACATGATAATACAGGGTAGCGCAGGGAAACGGGGAATTTTGAAATAATGTCATTTCCACAAATAAATTCACAAAACTAGTAATTTATTAATGAAAGTGCATGTATTCAGCATGCCATTTATGTTTTTACAATCAAATGTCCCAAAGTGTCTCTTTACTTTTTAAAGATGATATCGGAAAGATGTGCTCCCATTCGGTGTTCACACTCTAATAGCCTGTTATGAAAACTCTGGAATGCACCGTGTAGCAAATCTTGGGAAATGGCAGTGATTTCTTTTTCAATGTTCTCCTTCAGTTCATGGATTGTTTCAGGACGTGTACGGTACACCTTGCCTTTAATATATCCCCACAGGAAGAAGTCACACGCACTAAGATCAGGGGATCTCTCGCTACTGCACGTTCCTTTCACAGCTACTGCATGTTCCGCACCAGTCCAATGATCCATGATTACTAAATGGCAATGCACTCACAACAAATGTGCAAAGTTTCGAACAACTGCAGGCTCTACGATGCTGCCAACTGTAACATTCAAAATTTCCATTTCCCTGCGCCACCCTGTATTATCTATTGATAAAAACTGTGCCCAAAAGTAAGTAAATCATAATGATTTTAGAATTGGAAGCTGAAAATCACAGAACCAGTTTTCAGTATGAATGCCTTCCCTCCTTCTGCACTTTTAATGTTGCATTTTCATATGCTTTAATCATTGATATGGAGGTATATTTCATGATTCTGTTATGAGGTATATTTCATGATTCTGTTATGAGGTACTTTCACATATTCTGTTATGAGGTAAAATGCCTTTTTTCTTGAACGAATACTATGCACAGCTTGGCATCACATTGAGTCATGCCTAACAGATTAATGTGGCATAGAAAATGGGAATCTGTTTGAAATCATACTAAATGCAATAGCAGATAAATGGCTACTAGAAATTACAGGAAAGAAAGAAAGGAGGAACCCTATGCTGGGAAAATATATGGATGTCATTTTTTTAAAAAACATTTAACTAATTTTTTTTTAATGTTTTTGTTATTTCCTAGTTTTTCCTTTTCGGCATTTTGGTTCATGCCACACAATTTCTGTCTGACGATTTTCTTCATGGTAGCTGCCATAATGAAAAAAAAGTGCATTTTAAGTTTGCATCTCTTCATCATAATCTCCTGTTTTATTGAGAAATTTCCTCCACGCATCCGAAAGATGCTGGTTTGTCAAGAGTATGATGATAAGATTCTAGTGCCCTTATGATGATAAGATTCTAGTGCTTTAAAAGCTCATATTTGTTCTGTTGCATGAAAAGGCTTTCTGGGTGTTATTTTTTAGTTTTGTTGGATAGAATTTTGGTATAGAATATAAATTAAATGATAGTTTATTGACTGATTGCCTTTGGGCTGCCAGGATAATTGGCTCAGATTCCTTGGATTCTCAGAACAATTATTGAAATGGTTATGATGGCTAAAGTATATTACTTTGTGGTTTCTCAACACCCCCATTACTAATACGGAGTAGCGCTTTGAAGATTTTCTGAAATTTCATTTTGCTTACACAGAAAACAATAGAATTAAATAAAAGCATACCCATTATCTAGGGTAATTATTACATTTAATTTTTTTAATGTGCATAATTATTACCTTTTTTTAGTACATTTAAAAATTTTTTTTGCATTGCCCAGACGCTTGTTAATCATTATTGAGAATGGCTAAATCCATTTTTCATTTGATTGTCTTCACACTGAGGATGTTGCCCAGAATGGACCAGAAGAGGCAATCAATAGTAAATTAGAAAGGGTTATAGATGATAACAAAACACCTATGCCTTCTCCAGGATTTGAACATGCTCCTCTGGTGATATTGAAGTTGGTTGCATTAATCATTAAACCTAACACATCAGTGAATATCCTAGTTTTAAATATGATAGTGTGTCATCAATTAAAAGGACTTCAATATCCTATATTATATTCTCCAGACCTGAGGTCATTTGACTTTTTCCCAAACTAAAAGAACCATAAAGAAATTATGATGTTCATGGTAATTCACATTCATAAGTATATGTTCCTGTAGTATAATCTCCTAAATTTTTATCACCTTTTGCTTGATTATGTAGTCTATGGTTCTAGGCACTGCTTTCGTTCAGGCATTCAATGGTTTTGTTTTATGGGCTAATATCTGGAGAGTGTAGAAAATGTTTCAAAGGGGGGAAGGGGGTGTATGATCCAAATTGTCTCCAAACAAGATTTTACGAAAAATGTCAGTTTATATTTTGATCGATTTCTGGAAAATGTATTTAAAATTAATAATTATTGTTATATAATTAATCATTTATTTTCTTGATTTGTCTTATAAAAGGTGTAATAAATGTTTATGCTCGCAGTACATCAATCAAATATCTCCATATACAAAACGTTTTTTCTGACCACTTTTTTCTTTTAAAATAGAGATATGTTTTTATTTTTTTAAACAAAATGCATGTATAGCTTCCGCTTTTTATTTTAAAATGATAAACGTTCTTCGACCTTGAACTACACTCTTAGACAAAAAAACCAACGCACCGAGAAGATATAAAGCAAATTGGACACAAATTGATATGCATACAGGTTTCAACGGAAAATGCAAAATTTTACATTTTGGCTGCCAATGAATGAACGGTTGTCGCTACAGCGCATCTGATCTGCTCAATTGACAGGATATTTAAGAGGATAAATTACGATTCCAGGTTATAAACTCTTGACGAATTTCATTCTGTGTACTCTGGCAGACAGTAACTATGCTCGCATACAGGTGAGCGAATGATATGCACAGATGTCAGAATTTGGGAGAGGTCATGTAGTCGGGCGCAAAGAAGCCGGGCGAATAGCTTCACATTTGAGCAGGAGCGATGCCACTATTAGAC